GCACTTTATCAAAGGGGTTTCTATCTTATTCTTTCTCCACGGAACTCAGGATGGTCTCGCAGAGGGTTCCATCTATTCATTCCCACAACAACCTGGTAAGGAAGGCCAGGCTGAAAGCACAAGTGCAGCATACTAGGTAAGAGTGTTTGGCTTGGGCTTGGGAGATCTGGATTCAGATCTCTGCGCACCCATGAAGCTCTCAGCCTCACCTTAAACCAGTCGTGATTTCCCAGCTGAAAAAACTGCACAGGATTTTCACAAGGATGTCACTGAAACAAAACCCACAGGTGACTCAAGGAGTTCCTGGGAAGAAGGGCAAGTTGATAGATGGAGTGGGATGAAGTGGAGACTTAACCAAGATTACCCATTGAACTACATGCTGGAGCGGAGGGCTGAATTCAAGTTTCCCACATGCAACACTCTAGCTACTGTATCACACTGGTTGTCACCTGTTTCTGATCTTACCCTTCTTTGGATCCAGAGGTCCAGAACACTACAATTGTGAGAATGAACTCATGGTAATCAGACCTCAAAGCAGCATTCACAGGCCCTGAACACCATCTCTTGATAACAAACATTCAAAACATAGTCCTTTCACTGGCCAGGCTGTCTAGCAGTCCTCTTGAGAGAAGACTCGAGATCTAGAGCAGTAAACAGCATCTAGACTGGGGTTCAATTGTGGAACACCGGCAGCTCAAGATAATTTAATAATCGAGCCTAAACATGTTCACCGGGAAGCGAGTCTCACTGATTTATGCAGAAGACACTTCTGTTTAGGACTGTAGTCTGAGGGAGAAAAACAGGTCACAAGAGATACGGAGCTGCTGTCGTTCTGTGTATTTTTTTCTTCTTCTCTTCCTCACATCATCTGGTTTAACACCACCGTGTGACAGGAATCTGGAAACTGTCTGTCAAGAAAGGAACCCGACTGTACAAAAACATCTTCTTGGGGGCTGACCCCGTAGCAACATAGTCTTGCCTCACAGCACACTCTCCCAGTATACAGTTCTTCTCGGCTGCCTCCTCTTCGCTTCGCGGTTGCTATGCCCAGATGCCAGCCCTTTGATTCTCCTGAGCCTTGTTTCAAGTTTACAGCTCGGGAGGATTTAAGAAATAAAACATCTTCTTTTTTTGTGATTGCTTAAAAGCAAATCCCCCACCCACGCCCCTCCTGAAATCATCTGGTATAGTATATTCAGTCGCTGCATGACTTTGAGTTGTGCATTGCCCTGCCTCCGGCTCACATCCTTCACTGTCAGCAGGAGGCGCAGGGTGTGAAAAATGCCAAGCCAGAGAGCTCTTGCCATCAACTCGGGCAGGGAATGCCAGTGAGATGAGAAGAGTCCAACTGAAGCAGCCCCTTCCCCACCTTCCCTGCCTGCCACTGAAAGGTTTGTGTGTCCTGAGAGGAATTGGAGACGGCTGGATTGGGCTGCTCATCATCAGCGCCGAGGGCACAGCCAAGGATTTAAGACCATTTCTTCTGCTCATTATTTTATCCAGTGTTTTTTTGGTGCCAGGTGCTACACATATATAAAGTTGGGCTGATTTCCACCAATCACCCCTCCCTTTACAGGTCCCCACTAGGCTGTTCCTGAGAGTCCACTCTCTCTTTCTCTGGCTGAGTATGGTGGGCTGGCACACAAAGATCAGGACTTGGAAGAGACTCCCTTGCAGGTGCTAGTACTCAGTACTGGCGAGTACTGACACACAAAAAAGCCCAGCAGGAACTCATTAGCATAATAGGCCACACCCAACAGCAGAAACTCATTAGCATATTAGGCCACACCCCTAACAGCACAGTTCATTGGCATATTAGGCCACACCCCCATGTTACCAGAAGTGTGCTCATCCAGCCACACACCAGGTCCCCCCTGGCCACCAACATGGGATAGGGGAGTAGTATAACCAGATCCAAGTTAGGAAACTCCTGGAGACTTGGGGATGGAGGCTGGGGAGGACAGGGACCTCAGTGGGGTACACGGCCACAGACTCACTCCACCCTCCAAAGCATCCATTAACTCTAGGGGAACTGATCTCTGTAATTTGGAGATGAACTGTAATTCCGGGGGATCAACAGGTCCCACCTGGAGTCTGGCATCCCTAGAGACACGTGTGGTCTGAGGGAAGAACCAGGGAGCAGAAGTCTCTGAAGCTATTCAGGGGGCTGGGTTTAATCTTTAACGCCTGTAACGGCCTAGGTCTATATACTTGTTGGGCCATCTCTTCCAGCATGAGCCCTTGAGAGCCCTAGACTCATCTCAACAAGAGCTGCATACCGTCCCAGCCCTGAAGAAGGTTAGGATGATTTCAGCCTGTAGACAGGCCTTTGGAATAGGTTGCCAAGAGAAGTATGGGATATGCCATCTCTGGTGATCCTCAGGGGGGAAAAATGTACCACTGAATTCTTTGAAGGAGTATTTGGAAACTGATCTGCTGTTGCATTCTTTCAACCTGTTCCTATTAGTTTTAATAGTCATGGTTTTATCTGTAGAGTCGGAAGCCATTTTGAGTGCTCGTCAGAAAAGCGGCACATACTACTTTAAATAAGTATTTTACTTTTTCACTTTAAACATTTGCTACAGAAGACACTGGTGTGTAAGGCCAATATTTCCTTCAGCAACCAATGGGTTGTAGCCAATGAACTGCAAGTGGAGCAAAGTTCATGGACTTAAAGTTCATTGACTACATCTTCCCCCTCCCCCTCTTGCTTCAGCACACCAAGACCCCTAGAATTCTGTTCCTCAAGGTCAGGGGATCTTCCCAAGCCTGGGGGCAGTGTCCTGTGGGAGGGGAAATCGGTAAAACTGGCCAGTCCACCTCTGCCAATGAAAATGCTCTTCTGAGGGTAGGAAACAGCATTTGGATTCAACCCATAATGCGTGAGGCTGCCATGAAAGTACTTAAGTTATCTCTGATGACAGAGGCAATCCTGGTGCCCATCTATCTAGCAGTCTCCCCATTCCACTGCCGTAGCAGTTACAGCTGCGCTTCTCAGTCCTGAGCACACTGCCAAGAAACAAAACAGTTCCACGTGTCCCCAGGGAAAAGGGTGGTTGTAAAGATTTATATCTCTAAGCGTGGCTGGCTGAGCTGCTATCTCCACCCCTTCCTTTCTCATCTATCCTACCTACTCACCCTTATAAAGAAGGCCTCCTGGGAATTTTGGAACAGTCCAGAAAGTATTTCCACTATTTCTGCAAAGCAGCTTAAGAATGGAACATGCCCGGTACCTGCTAACCATTTCTACATTTCCCCCCTTAACTGGATCCATATAAAGCACAGAGTGGCTTTGGCTGGGATCTGAGGAACTTGACAACCTGTGGGAAATTCTGCACTGAGGGTGCTCTTGTGTTACTTTGTGACCAGAACAAAGTAAAATCCTATCATAATAAAGTATAGTGTTGTATAATGGTATAAATACGGTAAATACTAGACTCACTGAGCTTGGCAGGTGAAAAAGGTGATACTGTTCATTAGAAAAATTATTTCTGAGGTTAAACCCAGTGGTGAAAGTAGTCAGTAGTGGGTAGGTATGGGATACTGGAAAAGAAACTTTATGGAAGTTCCAGCAAACATATAATCTACTTCTGTTACTGAGCAGGATTTAGATATGTTCAGAAAATATATTCTCAATCCCATAGAATTTAACAGAATAAGACAATAGTAGTAGCACAGGTGTCTCCAAACAGTCCTGCAGTAATTCTTGTTCAATTTGGCCATCAAGCACAAGGCACATGGGGAGGACCTGAAGCATCTTGGGTTGTGCTTTGTTGCCTAACAGGCATAAGGAGCAGATGCAAGAATCACACCCACCTCCTCCACTTCTGCATGAATCATGTCTCTTATGAATAATTGATAGACAGAATGTACCCTGGTAAGATCCATGAGGGCAGGAAAAGTCTTGGAGAACATGATTCTGATTGAATTAAAAGGGTGACATTATTAGTGGGATGATACTACAAGCAATTGTTGTGTCTCCTCTTTATGTGTTATGTTTCATCAGTGGGATGTGTTGTGCCAAATGATTATGACATGCCCAGGCTATGAAACCACCTACCGGCTTCATGGGTTATTCTTTTATATGCCTACTCCCTCTCCCTAACCCATCCTTTCAGTCGCCTTGCTTCTAAGGTTTTCTCTACCCCCCCAGCCATACCTACAACTTTTTCACTGGTCTCTACCATTCCAGCCCTTACAGTATATTCTGAAATCTGCAAAAACTCAAGCATTCGTTGCAATCAGAAAAAGAAAACACACAAATAAAGCACATTGACTTTCCCTGAATAAAGAATTTGAATTGTTTTAGTACAGACTCTTCCGACCTGAGCGGCTCATCTTCCGGCATCATATCTTTTAGCCTTTTGATACTGTCCATGGGGTTTTCTTGACAAAAATACTGGAGTGGGTTACCATTTCCTTCTCCAGGGGATCACACTTGGCCTGAGTTCTCTGCTGTGACCTGTCCGTCTTGGGTGGCCCTCCACGGCATAGCCCACAGCCTCATCGAACCACGCAAGCCCCCTCACCACGACAAGGCAGTGATCAAATCAGTCAATCCTAAAAGAAATCAACCCTGACTGTTCCCTGGAAAGCCAGATAATGAAACTGAAGCTCAAATACTTTGGCCACCAAGTGAGAAGGGAGCACTCCCTGGAGAAGACCCTGATGCTGGGAAAGATTGAAGGTCAAAGAAGACGGGAACGGCAAAGGATGAGATGGTTAGACAGTGTCATAGATGCAACGAACATGAAATTGAGCAAACTTCAGAGGACGGCGGAAGACAGGAAGGCCTGGCGGGATCTGGTCCATGGGGTCGCGAAGAGTCGGACTCGACTGTGCGACTGAACAAAAACAAAAAAGTACAGACTCTACCTACTCTTACATGTGAATGCGGGAGCATTTGAAAACAGAATCTTGGTTTTGTTTGTTTTAACTAGAAAACAGCTATACCTACAGCTACATCAAACTTTCCTATTCAGTGAGAATCAAGGCCTTACCTGTGAAATGCTGGCGGCAGATGCAGGTGTAACCACCTTCCTTGCGGGTGCAGACACCTCCATTTTGGCAAGGGTTGGAATAGCAGAGGTTGATCTCCATTTCACAATAGTCCCCAGTGAATCCTTGGGGGCACCGGCATCGCAGGCCTGTAATAGGGTGGATGGGTCGGAAGAGGGTGGAGGGGGAGGCGATGAAGGGAGCTGAGCTGTCAAACTTGAGCACTGAGATGCACTTCATGTAATTCTGGCAAGGTTCACGAAGGCAAACATTATCATCAAAGGGCAGCACCTCCAGCATGGAGACAGAGGTCAGGGTCATGCGCTTCATGTACAGTTGCTCCTGAAGTTCTTCAGAGCTGAAGAAGTGGCCCCCACGAGGCGCCATTGCCGAGAAACTGACATTCAACACTTGGCCTCCAACATCGGTGTCGTTCTGAATATTAAAGATGAAGACATCCTCCTTGGGCGTGGCTAGCACTGTGGCCACACCCTCTAAGAAACTGGCTAGAAGTGGTGAGAGGAACCGCTCTTGCCACATGTTTTCTAGACGCACAGTGATGCTGTTGGCTAACATATCCTCAGTGATTACAATGACCCGCAGGACGCACTGGGCTGTGACGCTGTGGATCCCATCTGCAGGGCAGACACAGAAGATGTTAGTACTGGGGCTTTCAAACTGGGACATAACAAGCCTCCACAAATCCAGAAAACAAAAAACATTCATCTTCCAAACATTGTCATTATTTTACCTATGATGAGCCAATTATTCAAGGTGTGGCTTCAGTGTGTGCCCAGGTCACAACTCACCAGATCCATCTCCAAACTATTTCTAGAGGATTCTAAAGTTTAGTTGAGCAATTATTTGGAAACTCAGGTTGAATCTACCATACTGAACAATAAGCTGAAATCGGTGATGTGGATTGACCTAAAATCAGAGTAATAGGTATGTGGTAGAGCTGGTGAGGAGTTTAGCATCTTGTCCACCACTGCGACAGGACAATGCACAGCCCTTTGGAATGTTCCCTTAATGGAATGTTCCATTTTCTTCTCACCTTGACACAGAGAGTACTGGTGAAATGTCAGGTTTTACAATGCCAAGACCACGGCCACAGAACCCGGAAAATCTACAGCAACTAATGTTCCCTTAACTACTTTCAAACTCTGAAACTTTGCTCCTCAGGCAATGTATGGAATTTTGTATCTATCTCTGAATCTCTCTCCCTCTCTGTCCAGTTTGGTGTAGTGGTTAAGTGCGCGGACTCTAATCTGGGAGAACCAGCTTTGATTCCCCACTCCTCCACTTGCACCTAGCTGGATGACCTTGGGCAAGCCATAGTTTTGATAAGAGCTGTCCTTGAAAAAGAGCAGTTTCTGTCAGAGCTCTCTCAGCCCCACCTACCTCACAGGGTGTCTGTTGTGGGGAGGGGAAGGGAAAGGAGTTTTTAAGCCGCTCTGAGACTCTTTTGGGTAGTGAAGGGCGGGGTATAAATCCAATCTCTTCTTCTTCTTCTTCTCCCTCACCCTCTCTCCCCAGCCTGGCTTCACCATGGCTAGTTCTCCTGTTCCTTCTCCTCTGCTGACTTTGTCCGGCTTCAGTGACCCCCTCCCCCTCCTCCTTTCGCTCTCTTCTCCCTTTACTCCTAACCTTGCTCAATTAAGTCACTAAACCCCTCTCTTTGCCTTTTCACCTCTCCTCCATTGATTTCCCTTTTATTCCAGTCTCTTTCTCCTTCTCAGTCTTCTGCACACATAACATCCTCTTTCCCTCCCCATTTCTCTTCTTTGGCTTCTTTCCTGAAGAATCCACACACATTCACAGGTGGGTTCAGTTTGGACTAGACATGGGTGGACACGTCTAGTTTAATGGGATGACTTCCGCCAGGAACTGTTTAACTGCTTGTTGGTTGTTCATTCCCCTGTTGTGTGATCTGCATTCCTCAATTTGGGTGATTCATGGCTTTTATTACATCCCCCAACTTGGTGTATTTTATCGCATTGCCTTCTAATCAAGCCTAGCTTTCTTGCTTTTATCTCTGCCTATCTATGCTCAATAAATATGAAGCCTAAGTCAATCCAAAGTTGCTTCTCTCTCGGTTTCAGTCTCTCTCTCTCCACCTTATGCTTTCCTCAGAAACACTGCCCCCAAGATTATGCTTGTGTGTACAAGGATCTAAAGTCGATGCCAAGACTGAGAGTTGTATGGGTAAAGATCACACACATGCACCCACCCCCTTACCTTTGGTAACACCTCCTTGAGCTAAGGCTGCCTCATGCTTCGAAAAACATGCATCACAGAGACTGAGGCCTGAAGGGCCAGAGCATCATTCTGTCCAAGTCCATTTAAAGACTGAACGTACTGGACAATGTACCCAGCTTCTTTTACGCAGATGTGTCATGAGACACAGGACAAGCAATGCATAAGGGAGGGGATCTTAGCTCTGGCTTGTAGGCAGAGAGAGAGAGAGAGATGTGATATAAGATGCTGAGCACTGAGGAAGGGGAGACAATTAGCACACTGTATCCTATTAATTGCTACCTCCCAAGCCTCCAGAGAGTTGGAACGAAGGAAAGGACTGGGTCTTTGCTGCTGTTGTGGCCTGCAAAAAATTCGGCACAAATTGATGCATTTGTAGAATAGAATCCTGTGACCCTCAGGCTGACTTGTCACGGAAAACATCTTTCAACTGTAAGCAGTTCAGGGCAGGGGATGCATTTTATTCTCAGCAAGGAACGAAGGAAAAGTACAGCACAGTAGAAATGTTTCACAGTTACCGTAAGGACCCTAGCTATTCACCACTGAAGAGAATGCTCCCGCTTCTGACTTATTGTCTCACATGCTGTTTGTCACTTGGTCTTACAACACACACACACACACACACACACAACCCATCATTTCCCTCAGGACAGCTGCTGGCTATCCTTCATTTCAAGGAATGATATGTGGGCCACGTTAGGCGCCACATAGTCAAGCACAAGGATGAGGAACAACGTGGAAAACATTATTTTAACATGCTCATTTTTAGGACTCTGCTCTGACCACATGGGAAAAGAGTCACACAAAATTCAGGGACCCAAAAAAAATAAAATAAAGCTCATCGCTCATTGTATTCGTAACAATCAAAACACAAGGAAATGTAAAAGTTAGATATTGTTACTATTTCAGAACAATCTCAAAAAGCAAATAATCAGCGAGATGATTTAGTCCAGCTACTGTGAACTAAGAACAAAATGTGCCTCCTCCACCACATACACCACGTCTCACCCTGATACTCCTTGGCAACTCCTTCAGAATAAGTTGCACACAACCCCTCCATTCTGTACTGTCAATCACTGAAAGGGATTAGAATTTTCTCTGATATTTAATTGGATCAAGAAAGCATAATGTGTAATTTTCACATATGTTGTACTATGTTTAGATTGCATTTAAATAAGCCATTTTCTTAAGCACGATGCCTAGCATTATAACAAGCAAAAATGTAAGTGTATATTTTGAAGTCCTATTTCAGTGATAAATGATATACTGGCCCTTAGAGCTAAACTATGTATTATGTTGGAAGTCTGATATTAAATCTCATAGGGGTTTTTTTTTCTTTTAGCCTAAAAAACAGCTGTGGAGGAGGGAACTGGATTGGATCTGCAGTGCAAGGAGAGGTTCACTTTGCCCCTTGGGGCTATTTCCCTGATGGAAACGAGTTTGCCAAGGTTGCAATCAGTCTCTATAGGGAAAGGTTCCACACATTCTCAAATGAAAAGGTCAAAATGACACTCCCCTCTTTTTGTAGGCTGGAAGCAAGAAGAACCCCTCCCCCCAATTTTGGGGAGGGACTGTGGCTCTGTGATAGAGCATCTCCTTGGCATGCAGAAGGTCCCAGGTTCAATCCCCAGCATCTCCAGTTAAAAGGTCTTTTATTTTATTTATTCCATTAAATTCATTTGTGGTCTGACTTTCTCCCCAGTGGGTACCCAAAGTGGCTTACATCATTCTTGTCTCCTCCATTTTTTCTTCACAACAACCCTGTGAGGGGGGTTAGACTGAGAGAGTGTGAGGGGCCCAAGGTCACCCAATGAGCTTCTGTGACACCAGTGGGGTTTTGAACCTGGGTCTCCCAGATACCAGTCCAGCACTCTTAACCACCACACTGCACTGTAGGGGGGGGGGGGTTTGATGTGAAAGACTTCTGCCTGAGACTTTGGAGAGTCGTTGCCAGTCAGGGTAGACAATAATGACCCCGATGGACCGATGGTCTGATTCATTATGTCAGCTTTATGTGTTCATGTGCAGCTGGCTCATGACATTCCATGCTCCTAGGCCAACCCTGAGCCTCAGCTGTGTCAGTCTGTGACCTCTGAAGGGACTTGTCTTGGGCTATGCCACACAGGGCCACACCAAGGAGCTCTGAGAGACCAACCCCTCCTTTTTCCTAGCCAAGTCCTCCTCTGTGTCCCTGGCCATCCATGATTGCTGTGAGGGGAGAACAGCCTCAGCATGGCATGACTGTGACGGAAGGGTCCCCTCCTGGAAAAGAGCTTCTGGAGAATAAGAAGTCAAGTCATTACACTCCAGCCGATATGTCTTCTCACTCTTTGTACTTTATACACATTTCATAAAAGATTTTCCCTGCAGCTGAAAAATGGAAAGATGTGGCTATTTATAATCAGAGTTATGTGCGCTCCTCCTCTCAGCTATAACAAAGCACCACAGGATATTCAGCCAGCAGCGCCACCACTGCATTAGCAGCCCTCTCGGCACCTCCAGCGGTGTGCTCTGTTGTGCAACAGCTAGCATCGCTCCCACCACTGTCCACGGGTGGTCAGCTGTGTTAATTACCAGTACTAAATCGAGCAGAGCACTTTTCCTTGTGAGCCCATATTTAGGAGGCTTAAGAATTCTGCAGGACAAAATAGCAGCTCCTGCTTCCTGAAGTCTCAGAGGCTGTGATGGACTCCACAGGCACAGCTGTCCAGCAGGGCTTGCGTCCCCCCCCCCAACCTACAGCAGCTTCCCACAAGCCCAACAAGCTGCTCTCTCCAGACTTGGGGACGCTTCTTCAGCTTCATCCAAAGCATCTGAAGGAGCTGCTGTTGGGGGTGGGGAAGACCATGATGCTCCCATTTGACTCTGGAAGGCTTTGGGTGTGTGTATCTATTCTAGAGGCTCCCTAAGAGCCAAACTGCACATGGCTCTGGGGATCCCTTCGTGAGTATTTGAACTGCAAAAAGCAACCCCGGGGGCTATATGGATTGTGACTGTGGCACCAGGGAGGGTAGTTTTAACTCTCCCCCCCAATACTGTGTGCCTGATAAGAAATTGTCTTCCCAGGCTGCTGTAAACTATGGTAGGGAGTCCTTTCCCCCCTTTTACAGCTAAATCATGCATTTGAGGATCCAGGCATGGACTGCCAGTATCACAAGGTAACGTCACATGTAAGGGCCATGGTGGCTCAGAGGTTAAGACACTGAGCTGCAGACCGGAAGGTCTGTAGTTCAGCAGTTCGAGACCCTAGTGCCATGTGACAGAGTGAGCTCCCATCTCTGGCCCCAGCTCCTGCCAACCTAGCAGTTCGAAAGCAATAAATTGCAATAGATAAATAGGTATTGCTTCGGTGGGAAGGTAACAGCGTTCCGTGTGCCTT